ACATTTTCCCATATGTGAATTTCCTACTTTTCATTTTTCTATAGTATCTTTTTCTTTATAGGGGTGGGGGAAAAATCGTTATGGCGTAGTATCGCAATATTTTGCATGACGATATTGTACCGAGACACTTTTAAGTTTCAGATTGCAGGTAAATAATGCACATAATTTTACATGTAATGCAGGAAAACCAGATCAACTTTGAAATCTTTGTCAAACTGCCATTTCACAAACAGCGCAAATGAATCCGCACTACCGTATCTCTCTCTCTTTCTTTCTTTCTTTCTTTCTTTCTTTCTCTCTCTTTCTTTCTTTCTCTCTCTCTCTGTGTAAAGAAAGCTCGTTCTCGCATATATCTGATCTTGAAGCAACTGTTACAGAAGGCTAAATATGTGTGTTATTTCAACACACTTATGCTGTTACACCAGTCCAAGCCAGTTGCGCACTGGGATGCACCAAAACTTTCAATTAAACTTGCAGTTGGAATCAAAGAAGCTGTTTACATAATGACGTGTCTACACTTCCAGCATGCTGCTCATTCATAAGCAGTGCTCACCTGTCACATTATTGCTATCTGTTTTATCTTTTTATTTATATATACATCTTTTTTTTTCTTTTTTTTATCACATTTGGTCGGTGCCGATAGCCTTGTGGGCAGCGCACCGACACGCTACGAGCGTCTCGAGTTTGAATCTCAACTCAAGGACCTTTCCCGATCCCGCCCCCCATATCTCTTCCACTTCGCTTCCTGTCAGTTCTAATCTGTCCTATCATAATAAAAGGCAAAAATGCCAAAAAAAAATCTAAAAAAAAAAATTCAGAGTTTGAAGTCAAACTGTCTCGCGTTATTTTGGAAAAATTACTAGAAATGGACCAATCATTTAGTGTCCCAATTTGTACACCTTGAAGGATTTGTTAACATTATATATTGCAATGTATGTTGTCACAATACTACAGAAAAATTTTTAAAATCGCAATAATAATTGCCTCTGTTGATTACCATCCCTCTTGCTTATAGCCCTTAAATCTCTCTTACTCAGATCTAAGTGGCCTAAGTGTGATCCTGCCGCCATGAAAAAACACGTTCTCCCTGGAGACAGAAGCTGGGAACCAAAGGGATAAATGACATATGGTTATGAAGATCGAGGAGGAAACCAGGAATGGAAAAAGAGGGCAGCCCCCAGAATGGACTGACCTGCATGACATTGATTAGAATCAGAATATGAAGTGTGCATGGTGGTTGAGCCAGGGGTCGACAAGTAAATGTACCACGTCAAGGGGATAGGGATGGGGGGACAGTGCTTGTCTCCTGGAGGGAAAGGGATGGGGGATGTGATGCTTTGGGAAAAGGGGACTTTAAGGGGGGTAAAGACTGTAAATCCATGGCTCTGGTGATGCCTCAGAGGTGACTGGCTTTTGTTCGGTCGGTGTGGCCATTTGAAAAGCAAATGATTATTCATTCCTTTGCAGCATTGCCGTCCTTTGCAGCATCTGGGACCTCCTTGAAATGACTTGTTGAATTTGGGCGAAGAAGACTAGCACTTTTGGCAGTGGCTTCCAGCAGCAGCTGTAGTCCCAGGACTAGCTGTTGGCTGACCATGATGCTTTTTTTGGTTTGTCACAGGAAAAGTTGCATTAGTCTGATCATGTCGTACTGCCTCAGTTTTTGAAGCCGAGGACATATCTGGGTCATTACCAGCGTTTTCCCCGATTCAACCCCCATGAGTGTCCATCGTCGTAGCGGGCTACTGTTTGCTAGTATGTTGTGACTGCTCGTGAGTGCTTGTTTTGTCGCACGGAAAACTAACAGATAATGATGGGGGCAGGGTTCGTTCTGTGGGGGTTGTGAAGCTGAATGTGTGTTTGTGAGACTGGGAGCTTTTTATTGGCTCCATGTGGCCGACAGTGCTTATGGTTGTACTGCGTGACCGGGCATTTTTGACAGCCAAAACCCTTTTCTGCCATGCCTGTACGTGCGGTTTTTAGATCTGTAGGATGGTAATTGCTTGCTAGGGTATTTATGCACTTCATAAAACACAGCTGAAATGAGTCCAGTGTGCTTCTAAAAATGAAGAGGTCAGTGTTTGTGTTTTCTAAAACATTGAAATATGCAGTTTCAAGAAATTTAAAATTATTAACCTGTATGTTCATGAACACAGTTAAACTTTCTTTGATGCCAGGGACCTCTAAATATAATGATCTCTTATTGAGCGACTCCCTTTCTAAAATATAAAGGCAACTGTATATTTTCATGTATTCAGACCCATACTATAATTAGTATAATTAGGTCCTTGTGCAAAAGCCATTTTATTTCATTTTTATCGGTTTTGTTTTTTTATAGTGTTTTGTTTTGTTTTGTGCTTTGCTTTACTTTACTTTGCTTTGTCTTTTGGTTTGGTTGTGTTTGGTTGTTTTGTTTTAACTTGTCCAAGTTTGAAAACCCCTTCTGTAGAGGAGCATTTAGATTCAAGCAGTTGTTTAGTTAGTTTCTTTAGTCACTGCTGGGAAAATTGTTCATTTTCTGTGGACAAAGGTTGCACTACGCTTTTGAGCGCTTTCATGCCCTAGGACATAGATGCATTCTTTAAACCAGTCTTTAACCAAACATGCTCACACAGCATAACCCTACATATTTGAAAATACCCCATGGCTCTATTTGACAGAGGGAATTAAAGGTGCCGTATTATTCCCTGTCATTTTACTGATGGAAAACCACACACCTGAAAACCGTTTTAAACGATTTGTGACTTTTTGTGGCCATAGTCATTGCCATTTTCCACCTCACTTTTGGACACGCTCGAGCACAAATGACAGACCGCTGTCTCCCGAACAAAAATAAAGTATTTAAATTATGCGGACTCTACCTATCCATTTTCCTCAAATCTAGGGCACTGCCTCAACTAAAACATCCATCATTTTCAGCTGGAGGCTGTTTGAAAGGAAAAGCTGTTTTTAATGACACCGCAATACCTGTTGCTTAATGAGTTTGTATTTTGGATTGCCTTTCTGTATTAGTGAAAGTAGGTTTCTAGGCCTCCCCTAAAGAATATAGCTTGTCTTTTAATATCAGAAATAGCTCGCATGAAGTCTTAAGTTATATTTTATAGGAGCCACCGCATGAAGTAGAGTTGAGAGTGCCGCAGGGTTGATTCTACTTATGGCATGGCTTTGTGCATGCAGAGCTGCCCAGCAATCTTATTGATTCCTTTCACAGGACTTTGAACAGGTAGTGAGGTCATGCTGTCGATATTACTTGTTCAGGGCAGCATTTGTTTTGATCGCCCTCAGATGACTGTGAGAATTACGAGACTGGCTCAGTTACTGAGTCGTGACCCTTGCGTTGCCTCGGAACACAAACTCAGAGCTGCAGTCGATCTGGCACGAAGCAGTCAGAACCCATCAAAGTGCAGTTTTGCTGTTCATCTAGCTGAAAAGTTTTATAGCACTGAAGTGGTTGTACCTTACTTTTATGGATAAAAAATAAAATACTTTCCCCCCATTATAATTAATGATACCACATAGATAAATAGACAATAGTTTCAGTAGGTGGTCTTTTTTTTTTTTTTTTGCATTTCATTGTCCATTGCTTTTGCTGTTTTTAAAGGAATTCTGCACATTATTGCAGAGCAAAAGTTTGCATGTACTCTGAAAAGGGAAAGGTTTCTTTGGCTCACTTGCTTATTCATGCCTCCAAAAAGCTCCCATAGGGATCACAAATATTACAAAACAAGAACATATGAACAACTGTCTCACATTAAGTTGTCAGTTTTTTTTAAGCACTTTAATTATGTTCGTATATTATTTTAATACAATAAGAAGCTTCATGAGTTCATATTTATATTTAATGTGCCAACATTTTCACTTGTAAAAAATGATACCTTTTATTTTTAGCTACATGTTTTGCGATGTGTCAGAAATGATATATTTCTGTTTTATCAGATACCCTTTACATTGGGGGAAAGCATATTATAGGGATTGGAATTATTATTATTATATCAGATTGGAATTATTATTATATTATTATTATTAGACTGGAATTATTATAGTGGAAAAATATAAAAAATTTATTTAAAAATGTTAAACGGCTTGAAACGCTACAGTTATATAACCCCATGAACACTATAAATTCATAAACACTTTTGCTGGAAAATGTCGGCATATGATGAAAAATATTTGTATGTAATTTTCAAACCTATTCAAACTGATGCTTTCAAGACATTCCAACAATTTTTCATAACCTCTTTTATCCCTATGATTTAGAAAACTTTACCATGGGGATGAATGTTTTTGGTCACAAGGCATAAAAACATGTACATGAATGACAAATGTAGATGTTTTTACTACAAGAAGCCTGAAAGTATTGTACGTTTAGCCTCAGGGTGTTGTGCTTCCTACAAACCCACATTAAACTCCTATAATTAGCAAATATTAATCTTTTTTTTTTTCAATAATAGGCGAGTTCAAACGTTCCATAATGAAACGGGGTTTTGGTACAGCAAGTGCCTTTTCTAGGGAAGTAATAACTTAATTGCTGTATGAGGACATGCTGCTTAACGTTTTACATACAAACTGAGCAGTGTTTTGGAGAGACATCTCTGGGAGGAGTTCCTTTGACTGGTTTATTGAATGAAAGATGTTTTTCCAAACAGCTCTGTTAGAGTAAGTGCCGCAAGCTGGAGCTCTTCTCGATAAACAAAAGTCTGTGTTTTAGGCATGGAAAGGAGTTCCTTGACTTTTTTGTATTATTATTTGATTGTGCTGTGTAATGAAAGTTAATTCTTGATGTCATTCATCTGTTTTTTTTTTTGTTACACAAGAGTATTTCCATTGCTTAAAATAGCCATTTAATAGATCTGAAGCATGAGGGTATAAACAAACATCCGCTCTCATAATTGCACTGTTTGTGTGTGTGCATTTATAGTGGGCAGTTATGTATTTATAAGTGTATATTTAGAATGAAATTAGACTTTATTGACACAAGTCTATTTCTTTTCATCTTACAGTATATCAAGATTCCTGCTTCCTCGGATTCTCCTGATGCTTTCCGTGTCTTCTCCTTCTACCTGTCCAGTGACAGTAAAGACAAACCTCAGGCCAGCTTTGACTGTATTCACCAGTATGTTTCTGGGTAAGACAAAAGAAAAAAAATTCAAATAATTTCGAAAAATAAAATAATAATAATTATTATTATTAAAATTGTATAAAAATTGCATCCTGTTATTTTAGAGCACATACAGTGACAGACAGTTCAGACTTACCACAAAATTCTGACAAGCTTCTGTCCCAAAAAAATAAATAAATAAATGCAAGCACCATAAATACAACTCTTCTTAAAAATAATTGTTTAATTAATGAGTATTACTGAAATTGCTTAATAATAAATTGTATTAGTTATTATGTGTCTTGAATGTTAAATCAGTGTGTTGAGTGTAGGTTGTTGTTTGTTAGGCTCAACATTTACTTTGACCTTTGAACCCAAGTTCCATTACAGTATTTGGCGTCACGGTCAGTTGTGAAGTTGCTGTCTCTTGATCGGGGTGGCACTGATCTGTTCGCTTTCCAGCTCAAAGGAGACTTGTAGTCTCACAATACTCCACTTGTCTCGCTGAAGAATAGCATTAGATAGGTTTGTGGGAAAGAGGATGCAAAGCAATTCCACAAAAACCGGTTAAGACCATTAGTCATAAATTAGTCACTGACTTTCCGGCTGCTTTGTGGACAAAGGAGCAGCTGTAAAACTTAGCAATGGGGAGAGAGGCGTTAAACATGTCAGTCTTTACATAGCAGACTGATTCTCAGAGCGTTCAAGGAAATTTCTGTAGTGATGTCTACACTAATTTTGACGTAGCCTTTTATTCACTGTGTGTTCTTTTAAACATTTTCACATAAAATTCTTAAATGAGAATACACTTTTTATTTCTATCTATCTATCTATCTATCTATCTGTCTGTCTGTCTGTCTGTCGATTTGCACGTACAACAAAAATAAAGCTATTTATTATTTTTTTTAAACAAATTTTTTTTTTTTTTTTAATTTTCACAATGTTACTGTTGGAACTTTTACTTATTTAGATCAAATAAATTCTGCCTTGGTGAGCATGGTGAATACTTACTTTTAGGAAGCATCTAAATAAATACATATACAATACATACATACTTAAAAATCTTCCTGACCCCAAACATATGAACAACTAGTGTGTTTAATATATGGCGACTTATGTAATATTATTTTTTCAATGCATATGTATTTAGAAAAATATATAATGTATAAAATAATGTTTATGTATTTCTAAGTAAACAATTCGAATAGAAATTATTTTTATTACAAAAATATTTGTTACATGTTTTATATAAATGTTTTTTTTTCTTTAAACAAGCTCTACAACCATGTCTCCACGCAGATATAAATCATAAACACCCTTAAAAATGATGCCATATGGTGACATCACTTTATTGTTTGTAATTTCCAAACAGTTCTAACTGATGCTTTCAAGACTGTAAATTAATTCCCTGGAATTTCAACAAATCCACATGTGTATATTTTCCAGCATGATAATTTAGCTCGCTGTGTATTTCCTGTTTTTGCTTAGAGATGGCAGGGAGCATCTGGAAAGTCAGGGCAGTATTCAGGACAAAATCACGGTGTGTGCCACCGACGATTCCTACCAGATGACCCGCGAGCGCATGTCTCAAGTGGAAAAGGACATCTGGAGTCGCTCAGCCATCGAGATCAAACCTGGATCCACACGTCCAAGTAAGAATCCAGCTCATGCACACAAAGGACCAACTCCATATGCACAGACGCAATTAGCTCTCATTAAAACATGTCTTATATCAAATAACATGCTCATTTCTTCCAAAAACAAGTAATATGTTAGCCTGGTAGTATCATATCCTGTTAATAATGGTGGATAAACCAGGATGTTTTTGATCAAGGGATGGTTGTGTATCAGACGAGCCGTGTAAAGATGCATTTCCCTCCCCCAATCCCTCTTTCTCAAGCATTTATCTGCAGATGACACCAGCACGAAGCCACAGACCTGTTCCATTAATCTGATTGAGACTGCCAGAAGTATGCGCTAACAAGTCTCATGCTGGGTGGATGAAGTTTAGCCCAGGATTTTAATTACCATGGCTGGGGATCAATTAGGTTTTCATCTGCAGAAATACTGAATTATACATGGGGTCTCTCTCTGAACCAAAGTCTGCAATTCCCCAAGCGACGACTGGAGAGAAGGACACGCGTCACGCTGGCCTCTCGTGTCTAAGAAAGCTGAAAGATAGCACTTGAGTGGTTAGGAGAAAATAAGGTCTGTTTGAAATTTCTGAATCGCTTTCACCGAGGAAAGCAGATAGTTCCCTTCCAGACAAAGCTCTGCAGTATCCTCTTTTTTTTGTCAATATGTGTCTCAATTTGCCTTGTAATGTAAACACATTTGGGCTGCAGTGCTTGCTAAGGGGTATAATTTAGAGACGGACATTATAGGAGGACCAAAGTGGGATGGTTTGATGTTGCACCATTCAGATTTCATATAATAGGTGTGTTTGGGTGAGTTTATACTATTTGCTTTGGCTTTTTATTCCATCACGGACGAAAAAAAAAAAGTAATACTGTCTCCATGCGTATTTTTAACCATATGGTGGTAGAAACTGAGCCATGTCCTTGCACAATTTAGTGTCTGGCAGATACATTTGTTTGGCTGAAACGAAAATAATACAGCCTCCAACTTTTTTTCCCCATCTCTGTAGTCGAGCGGAGAAACCTTTTGTGGCGGCACACTGTATTTCTGTGGTGAAGTAATGGTACACTTATCATGTAGGCGCTTCTAAATACTGCTTTGCCCTCATAGCTCTCATAGTTGGCAGAGGCTTTGAAATGTATGGCAGGTATTTCAGTGGACGTTAAATTATAAAGAGCAGAGGTATTTTAAGGTCGCTCTAACTTTGTACACTGGTAAGAGGCAGGCAGAAGTGCATCATCAAAAATTTACTATGTACTTACTGTTTGATGATTTTGGTTCTCATTCATTTAGTGATCAAGATGAGTACAGTCGTCATTAGTGGTCAACTGATATGGATTTTTTGATGGTTGATGCTGATATCTTAGTGAGCAGGGTGGCCACTTGCTGATGTAAAACCGATGTGTAGACTTATGATATTATACTATCTAATCTAAACATAGTAAAGAACATATGCATAACAATTTCTGTGATTAAATTTACATTTTATATTTTACAGAAATAATTTTATTCATTTATTATATTTAGTGCTGTCAAACGATTAATCGCGATTAATCGCATCCAAAATAAAAGTTTTTGTTTACATAATTTATGTATGTGTATTGTGTGTATTTATTATGCACATATAAATACACACACACATACAGTATATATTTCAAAAATATTTGATTGTATTAATTTATAATCATATAATTTATATTATATATAAATATATTTAAAATATAAACATAACTTATTTTTCTTAAATATATGCATGCATGTGTGTATTTATATATACATAATAAATATACACAGTACACACACACACATATTATGTAAACAAACTTATTTTGGATGTGATTAATCGCGATTAATCGTTTGACGAGCATCTCTGGAGAGACCTAAAAATGGCTGTCCACCAACGTTTACCATCCAACCTGATAGAACTGGAGAGGATCTGCAAGGAGGAATGGCAGAGGATCGCCAAATCCAGGTGTGAAAAACTTGTTGGATCTTTCCCAAAAAGACTCATGGCTGTATTAGATCAAGAGGGTGCTTCTACTAAATACTGAGCATTTTTCAGTTTTTCTTTTTTAATAAATCTGCAAAGATGTCAACAATTCTGTGTTTTTCTGTCAATATGGGGTGCTGTGTGTACATTAATGAGGAAAAAAAATTAACTTAAATGATTTTAGCAAATGGCTGCAATATAACAAAGAGTGAAAAATTTAAGGGGGTCTGAATACTTTCCGTACCCACTGTATATATATAGTGCACAAGTCATATGTGGATTGCTTGATAGACAGATACGATACTTTTATGAGGCCTTCTCTTAAGAAATACTTAAAAATCATAATAATGTCACCAAAATAATAATGAAATTACATAATGTATATTTTCATAAACATTTTTTCCCCAAACATTTTTATGTACCTCTGCCAGGTCAAAACTGACCCGAATACAGCAGGAAGGTTAACCATGAAGGTTTAAAGAGATATTCACCAAAAATGGAAAATTCTGTCGTCATTTTCTCACTCTCATGTTGTTTTCATGACTTTCTCTTCTGACAAAAGAAGATAGTTTGAGAAATGTCAATGGCCAACAAAACCGTTTGGCCACCAACATTCTTCAGAATATAGTTTTTTGTCTTCCACAGAAAAAAAGTAAGTCATACAGGTTTGGAACAACGTGAGGGTGGTACATTTTTTTTTGTGTGTGTTCCACAGAAGACCGTATGTCATATGAGGGTGAAAAAATGATAACAGACAGTTCATTTTTGGATGAACTTTCCTTTTGAGTTAATGTGAAGATTGCTTAAAATTACTTGAGTAATTTGATTTAACCCAGTCCATTTGAATTTAACTCACAAGACAACAGCGTAGTGTGTTTTTGCAGCAATAACAAAGCCCTAAAGCGGTCTAAATGGAAGCATGAATGTTATGTAAAACTGGATGAGCACAGGAGCGTAGCACTCGCTGTATGAACAGCTTATGCTTCACTTTGTCCTATTGCAACCTTCAAAGTACAGCTTAAACTTCTAATGAGATTAGGCATGCTTGATATCTATTAGCTCTCCTGTGTCCTGCTGGCTCCAGGTGAAATAGCACACTGGTGGGAAGATGGAAAACAGAAAAAAACAGCTCTATTTGAGGTGCTTTCGTTTCCACCGCTTAGATATTTGCACAGGAGAGAGCAACGTTTACCGCCAGCTCTTTCACACTCTTCGTCCCACTCGGTGCATGCCAAATTCAGAGTGCACATCCGGAGAACGGCTCATACGAGTGCTATGTGGGCCATCATGTTTACTCAAAGCCGTATTTCATAAAGTGGTCCAGCGCTTGCTGTTTACACTACTGTATGTGTGACAGTCATTTGTCACGGCCCTAGCGCTCACCCCTTCTCTGTTATATGTGTGTCTAATTTCACCTCAGGGTGGCTCGGTTTTGTTTTGCGTAACGAGAGCTTGGGGATTTGAGTGGCCCCGGAAGTTCTGTGCTATTTGCAGAGCTCTCGGTTTATTTTCAGTGCTGAAGAGGCAGTCGAGTTAGACAATAATCTTTCAGCCCGTTTTATGTCACTTAGCAGATTCTGAGCTTGTTTTGAAGACATTTAAATATGTTAAAATAATGTAAGGTGAATGCTTTTGTTTTACAGACCAAGTCATAGAAATCATTAGTGACCCTTATGGTGTGTTTTTTTTTCTCTCTCTCCTCAGGTAAATGTGTGAAGATTAAGAAGAAACAGGGCCTGCCGACTAGCTTTGACAACACTAATAGACATTCACCCAGCAACAAGAGGAACGGTACACCTAGCTTGGTGGCCCACAAGCCCTTGAAAGAGCGTGTTATTCATGTTCTAGCCTTAAAGCCCTACAGCAAGCCAGAACTACTGCTCTGGTTGGAGAGGGAGAAAGCCAGCCCCAAGGACAAGGCCGACTTAAACGCTGTGCTGGATGAGGTAAAACACAAGTGCACTGCATGCTACAGTGCAAATGCACAACAAATAAAATATTTATAATCTACATAAATGGAAAATTGTTTCCAAACCTCAGTTGGAATCTTATGAGAGTTTTTCATCGATATATTACATATTACTTTCACATTCAAAAGTTTGTTTGTTTTTAAAAGTTTTTGAAAGAAGTTCAAGACTGCATTTATTTGGTGAAAAATACAGTTAAAACAGTAGT